GACGTGGACACAGTCCTGATTTAATAGCAGCACGGGCTTGAGGTGGGAGAAGCCAGTTAACGAGCTGGGCAGAGGTAGCCAGGGACGGGCAGGAACATCTAGAAGTTTCTTCCCTCTGTTAGCAAAGGTAGGGGTAGTAGGAGACACTGAGGGAAAGGAAGCTTTCTGATCTAATGCTCGGTGACTGTTTCTGCAGTTACCCACATCCCAGTCCCCAAGGAACAAGAACAGCAATTCACTTTTTCCTTTCTTTCCCCCTTTTCTTCAGGGACTTGAAACAGATGGGAGTGTCACTTCCAGGCCACCAGAAGAGGATCCTGTGTAGCATCCAAGGCTTTAAGGAGTGATCAGTTGTTGCTCTCTTAAGCTTGCAAAATGCCCATTCTTACCAGGTATCACTTGGAATCATTCCTATGGCAATTGCTTCCAAATGAGTGACTGGGACAAGCAAAGCAAAACAACCAGAACTGGAAAGGCTCATGAGGCAGCACCACCTGCTCTCATTTCTGTTTCCCCCTGCTTTAGCTCTACAGCAGCCATCAGTACGTTTCAGAGCACTGATCTTAGAAACTGTTCTCAACCCCGTCTTCTGTAGTCCATTCTGTGCAGTACCAAGTAATCCCTGTAGTCTGGAGTTTCAGACCCTCAGTATATCACATGGATACGTACAAAGCAGGTTGGAGGTGGTGAATAATGCTTTAAGACTGGAGATAAGGGTTCAGATAGACTGGGACATTCGGGAACGTGCACAAGGACACATCTAGAGATTGGGCCCATTCACTCCCTGGCATACATCCCTTCTCACTTCAGCAGCCTTCTGTCTTCCCTATTTTACAGCAGGAAGAAACTATTCAGTGTTTCACAAGGCTGCTGGTAAGTGATAGATTTTTTAATTCAGCTATTCTTACCTTAAGCACCAACTCATGGTGTACTTCTTTCTTCAGAGGAGAAGTTGGGAGCAGCAGCACACCCTGCTGTAACTTCTGTGATCGTATAACCTCAACATGCTGCTGTTTTGCATGTGCACGTCAGCAGGGAGATTTACATCTCTCCAATTTGCTTGATACCTTTACTTGTGCCATGGACAGAAAACCCTTTAAGTACTCATTTTTCTCTGGCCCTTTTTAAAAGGGAGAGTAGTCTTGTTTGGCCAGATAGGATATTTGTAACAGAAAAAATGTGTAGGTGGTCTGTCTTACTCCTTCTCTGTGGAGGAAACATTATTTATCAGAGCTCAAGACCATTACAGATTGTAAATAATATTTTGTAAATAAACTTGTGGCAGAGCAGGCTGTGTTGGAGTGCTTTGGCTTATTTCAAATATGATTTGGACCTTTTACTTGAGCATATATATTGTAAGTTCCAGCAGAGTCCTTACATCCATGTGTAGTTGTTTCAGCTAATGGTCTTTGTGCATTTAACTTCAAATTTAATGTGGAAATGCAGTTGCATTAGGATTAAAGGATACCTATGCAGCTGGTCACTTCAGCCTTTTTTTCTCTAAAACCAGTTAAAGCTGTATCCGTCCATTTGCCAAGCCCAACTTTTTACAGGTCCTGTGTTTATTCCTAGATCATGAGAAGTATTAGAAGCTACTACTTGTAGTTTGATGAAATACATGCGAGTAGTGCTTCTTTCTGTAGAATAGACTGTCCAGTGGGGGGAAAAAAAAAAAAATCTCACTGATATTCCTAAAACTTTCTCCTCCTGCCTGGGAAGAGCAGTCACCTTAAGATTTATTTTTCAGTGCTCGAGCCAAGTTTAGGTTGGTGAAGAAGGTGAGTGCTAGCCATTCAGCAATCAGTTACTTGCTGTACGTAGCTCTAATTTTTTCCATAATTGTAAAAAGCTCCAAATTCTTAAGGCTAAAAATTAACCTTCCTGGGAAGGTCCTGCTCAGAGATAAATGACAGGACAGTTAAGAAGCAGAGCTCACAGTAACTACAACTTAAAGCAAGAAGGCTGTTTTTTATTCAACATGAGAAGCAGCACGGTATACACAAGGACCCATGGTATATGCATACCTCAGCTACTCAAGTCACCACAACTGTAGTAAGAGCCAACAATACAAGCTCTTACTGTAAGTCTCATTAGCGTATCAGGGAGTTCAGTCTTAGTAGTAGGTGTCTTTATTCTGAAGTATAGATAATAAAATTGCTCCATGGCAGATATCCAGGCTAGAAGATAAGCCCTGATGAGGATGTCACAGGATTATGAGCTTGTGTCATGCATATGTAAACTTTAGCCTATCCTTAAAGATGAGAGAAAATTGGGAGCAGTCGATGCATCAGATAGTTGTGCTGCCGTTCGGAGGGACCTTAATAGACGGGAGAAATGGGAAGAGAGTAGACCCATGAAGTTGAACAAAGGGAAACGCAGAGCCTTGCAACTGGGGAGGAATAGCCCCATACACCAGTACATGCTGGGAACTAACTGGCTGGGAAGCAGGTTTGCAGGAAAGGACTTGCAGGTCACAGTGAGTGGCAAGTTGCCCGTGAGCCAGCAACGTGCCCTTGTAGCAAAGGCGGCCAACAGTATCTGGGTTGCATTAGCAAATGCATCACCAGTAGCTGGAGGGAGGCGATTCTTGCCCTCTATTTAGTGTTGTTCAGGCACCCAGAGCACTGTGTCCGGTTTTTTGCTCTCTGGTATGAAGGAAGCCATGGACTTCATGGAGCAAGTGCAGTGAAAGGCCACCGTGATTTTCAAGGGATTAGAGCATCTGACAAACAAGGAGAGGCCGAGAGAACTGGGACTGTTCAGCCCCAAGATGAGAAGGTTTGGGTGGCTCTTATCGTTGTGTGTAAATACCTGATGGGAGGGAGCGAAGAAGAGAGAGCCAGACTCTCGTCAGTGGTATCCAGTGAAAGGACAAGCAGTGGGAACACATCAGAATACAATAAATTCCATCTGAAGTTATGAAAAAACTTACTCCGAGGGTTGTTCAACACTGGACCAGGTTATCCAGGGAGGTTGTGGAGTTCTCATCCTTGGAGGTATTGAAAAACTGACAGGGTACATTCTTGAACAATCTGGTCTAGACCCTGCTCCGGGCAGGGAGGTCCCTTCCAACTTCAACTGTTAGAAGCTGCTGGATCAGCTGGCCTGTTAGAGAAGAGGCTGCTCAGTTCCGTGCCCTCAGGTACAGGCGGTAGCAAGCCTGAGCATGTATTCCCAATAGGCACTCACGCACACAAAACAGACGTGTGTATAGTATGTGCATTTATATAGATGCACACACACTGTACATGACTGACCTGAGGCAGAAAACGCAGCAGTCACGCAAGCACAGCACAGCCCAGCCTGATCCAGTTCCCTTCACTGGCCGATCAGGACGAACCTGCTAGTGGGAAACACGTACATACATACTATGGATCCCTCTAGTGTCCAAGACCAGCCATCAAGTAGGTGGCTCCATGATCCGAAGCCTGAGCTGGTCTCCTCAGTTGCTGGCACCAGGACATAGGAGTCCTCAACGCCTGTATTCCCACCCCAGCAGTGGGCATTCAGACTCCTCACGTGGACGCAACGCACGTGGGAGCCCCCCAGTAAGGCCGGTTAGAGCCTTACACATTGGCTTTACCCCGCAGCTGGCCCCAGGACTCGCTGGTCTCCCAGTCACCTGATGTAGGACAAACTCTGGCGCAGGCTTACCAGTAGCTGACTTCCAGACCCAGGAGTAGCTGGCTTGGACCCGCCGGGAGCTCTAGGAGCCGACTCAGACTGGTCTTTCCAGCATCTGGCCAGACCCGCAGCCACGCCAACTCACGGCTCTCAAGTCTCTCACTCTACTCACTCGCCAACTACTCCAACTCGATTTTCGCTCGTGATTACACACGGGCATACGCCCCCACACAATACACATGCACTCAGGTATTTCCAGTTGCTGGCACTTACATCTCCCCATGCTCTGAGCAGAGTCCTTTCACACAGAAAAATCATCATAATAAAAGAAGTTTAGTAAAAAGACAGGACGGACTGCACTGATGACATGCAGGACACGGCCAGGCACGTGGAGCGCGTATGTGCAGCCAGCCCTTTATGTGCTCTTTTCCCTGGCTTTCCCATGCTCCTTCCTCTCCTTGATCATTCTCCTTTCCTGCCCTTGATCTTGCCCCTATGCACCCTCTAGCAAGTGTTGTACAGTCCCAAAATGCTCTTCCCCTGCACCTCATGCTCCTCAAAAAAGACTAACCCCTTAATCTGCACGGGGATCCAGAGAGCCCTTCCCATTGGCGCCGTTGGGCAGGTTTCAACACCGGTCGTACAGCCTTCTGACAGCTCTGGGAGGAGCTGGGTTAGCGTGCTTTTCTCTCCCGTCATTGTATCTCTCCTCTGTGCTCCTTGGTGTTCGTGGACATGAGCTGTGAATCACATAATCTAGAACCAACCACTCAAAACAACGCCTACGAACCAGCAAGAACTCCGGTAAGAAAAAGAAAGCAAATGTACAATTTGTTTATTCTTTGCTCACCCTATAGGAAACCTCAAAGCATTTACTGGATCAATCTGCAAGGAGTCATCAAAGATTTCCCCAGAACTGGCAATAGAACAAGAGCAGGTTTCACGTCTTTGAAGTGTAGAAGCATTGGTGCTTACCACAAAGAGGAGTTTCACCTGCAGCGACCAAGGCGGTACCATGCTTAAAACCATACACAAACACATTCTGAAGAGCAATAGTGAGGGTAAAGCAAGCAAATGGACCACTTTGTTCCAGTCTGATGCAAGTGGATTGTAGTAACTCACCTCCTAGTGACACACCAAGCACATTACAGTCTTGCTGGACCGAGATGCAGTCTTCCACTGCTTTAAATGCAAGCTACTCTTCAGACACAGAAAATCAAGAAAGTCCAGCAGTTTGAAAAGGAGACCAAGAAGTGGAGAGAAAGGACGTTTTCAGACTCCTCATACCTGGAGACTAGGTGGAAATAGCAACTATACGTTCTCTACTGCCTAAAGCAGCAATTCTCATGGGTAGTTGAACAAATATAGCAGACACGTTAATGGAAAAAAACCCCACATTTTATTGAATGCAAACAGTGGTCGAACAGCGTAGTTATTCAAAAGGTTGATTCAGTTTGAGATTTTCTAGTCCAGGAAATGGGGCTCAGTGCAGCAACACTTAGAGCCAGACAGTACATCACAATCACAGTGCAGCTTTCACTGACACCAGTGCTGTCACCTCACCACGTGCTGCCCATCCTTACGACGGTCTTTATTTGTAAACAAGCATTCTTTGGACTGCTTTGCTACTCTGGTGCCCAGCCTGGCTGTCCAGAAACCACACTGGGAAAGGATTCATGTTGGGGAGGGAAAAAGATTGTTTAAAAAAAGTTTCCAAACTCAGGAACAGAGCAGAATTCCAAACACTGCCAGTTTAATCTGGCTATGGAAAAAAAAAAAAAAGCCAATAAAATCCATTAGACACAGAAAAGCTATAGTAGGTTAGCTTCTTACAGCAACAATAACAGAGATTCCCAATATGTTCCACCTCCTTGCTCTAACCCAGAAGTGAAGGGGCAGGGTAAGAGGAGGTGTCACAAGGAAAAAAAAAAAAAAAAAAAAAAAAAATCGAAGACAGAAGTGGTGTTGAGATGGAGGCTTCCACCTTGTGAGTCGAATCATGGTTCTTGGCTCTGTGGAACACTCAGCCTTTCCCAGAACCTGCCACCAGGTCATTCTTGCTCCTTCCACCAGGAGGTGGTGGAGGTCTGGTCTTTCTCCTCCAGAGTCTTGAGGGAACACAGATGGTGCACTCACCTGGATCGCAGCCCCCCCCAGCCTGGAATACACTGTGGCCAGGAAGAGGTGACAGGAGGTCCTTTCTTGGTGGGTGTGCAGAGTGAAGACATGAGTAAAGAACTGTGCTGGCATAGTTTCCATTGGTAGCAATCTGCCTTATCAGGAAGAGGGATAGGACAATGGTGGGGAGGGGGAGAGTATTGAGTGCAGGGGTCTCAAAGGTAAGCCCACTCCAAGCTCCTCAGCGTGCCATTTTGGCACGAACAGTGTGACATTTGATACACAGCACGTGCCCATCCAGTGGAAAGCACCCATTCTCATCTGCTTCAATGGACAAAGGCTTCCCACAGTCCTAAACAGGGGAAGAAAAGAGGGAAGGAGCTCAGTGACAGCCAACAGCAGGGAAGATGCATTCAAGGCTGTAAGAAATGCCCCACTGGATCAGGATGATGGCTCACAGCCCACGACTCTGTCTCTGATGGTGCTAATGGGACATACTATTTTGCAGGAAGAAAAAGACCCTTCTGTGATCCCCACATAATTCCCCTGGTATACACAGCTGCTGTATTCAGAGCTGCTAGAGACCACAACACTTGTTCATGTTCATGAGCTCATGGACCTGTGGTCTGTGAACACCTAGCATTTTTCTAAACCTGCTTCAAAAATGCTCCAGGTTACTTCAAAAAAAAAAAAACTTTAGTGTTTCGTCAGGATAGACAACAAAAGTACCCAGTTCCTTACCTCACACTTATAACATTTCATGTGGAAATTTTTCTCCAATGCCACCACACGCACTGTTTCATCCTTTCCAGGCTCTGGCATGATCGGCTCACTACAGACTGAACAGCGTGGAGCATACTTCCTGCAACACACAAAAATATGGAGGAGACCATGACCACTGCGGTGGCATTCAGTGCAAGTTTCTCACTGCCATACAAGAGTATTAGCAGCAGAGGAATAACTAATCACAACAAAGTTTAGGTAGGAAAAGACCTTCAGGTAGGAAAAGACCCTCGTTGTTACAAGGTACATTGCTGATTAATTTTTAACTTCACATCCAACGGATCACACGGGCAACACAACCTCATACTGCAGCAAAATGAAACAGGTGTGAGGGAATCGGCCTTCTTTCAGACACCACATGCATGTGCTCTCTCCATACCTGTGGTAGTCATCCACGCAGTGAGGCTGGTTGGCCTGGTCCACAATAAAAGAGGCCCCCTCAAGAAGGGTATGGCATATCACGCAGGTGAAGCACTGGGGATGGTAGGAGTTACCAGTGGCCTTCAGCATCCGGTCTGTGATGGTCTGTTTGCAGACACTGCACTTCTCCAAGGTCCCCTGAGCCCAGAGGAAAGAAGTAAGACACATCAGTCCAATCGCCCACCCCTGAGGGGCTACACCACAGACAGGCAAGATGGAAGGAGGAAAGGAAAGCAGGAGAGAGCAACCACAGCAAGCTCGGCTCTTCCCAGTAGCTTTTATCTCAGTGACTCACAGCATAGCAGTCCTCGCAGAAGGGCTTCTCATCCACATTGTAGAACTGCTGCCCCTGCAGCTGCTTCTCACATTTGAAGCAAGTGAAGCATTCCACGTGGAAGAGGCACTCCAGGGCCCTCACAGCTGGCTGGGTTCGTGACAGAGGCTTCTGGCAGAAGCCGCAGAACTCTGTTAATGGAAGAAAGGGATTAGGAGAAATGAAAACCCACCGGTCTTAGTCCTACTGCTGTCCACTGAGGGACACGCACCAGAGGTAGCAGCCTCTGCTGGGGGTGGCTGCTCCATATCCTTCATTAGTTTCTGGGTCAACATCTCCAGCTCTTCTACCTCCTTCATGGTCAGACAGGAATTTCCCCTAGGTGGATCTGAACGGGAGCCCGTGGGTCTATGCTGCAGGAAGAGGAAACATTCAGTCACAAAGGTCAAAAGCAGACAGACTCCTTTCCACCCTGTCCCTAATAAACCTCCTTCTTTCCCCTTCACTTCTCCTCGCTCTCTCTCGGAAACAATCTGCCATCCACTGTGCTTGCTTCCTTCCACGTTTACGTGAAGTCCTATCCCTCTCCACCACTGTCCCAAGTTACACCTCTCTTTCAGATGGGTAACAGCCTCCCCTAGCCTTGGACAGACCCTCCCTCCTCATCCCCCAACTTCACTCCCAGTGATGCTGTGCCTGTCCAAAGGCACTGGTCCCCTGGCTCTATCCCTTACCACGTCTTTTGCAGGAGCAGGTTGTTCTGTGGGATGCGGCTCCTCCTGTACTCGGGGTCCTTCCCTCTGCTGGGCATAGGTGAAATTCAGAGGCTGTGGCTGCGAGGAGGGACCTGAAGGTGAAGGGGCTGTGAACTGAGTCTGAAGGGAGGTAGGATATCTCGTAGCGTTTGAGGGAGCCATGGGAATGTTGACTCCTGATTTAGACCCAGACTTAGGAGAGCTAGCAACAGCAAGTGGGGTGAATTTAGGCGTAGGCTGAGCAGGAGGGACAAAGTGGGAGGGAGGGACTGGTCCTAGGGGCTCCTTTTGTTGCTGTGGGGCTGCCCATGGGGTTGGGGAGGCAGAAAAATCCACTCCGGGGGGCTTGAAAGATAAGCTTCCACTTGGCTTTGGAGTAAATTTGGAATGAAAGGAAGGAGGAGTATCTCTGGGTGCAGATGGTATTTCCACATGGGCTTTTGGGGCTGATCGTTTCTCCAGAGAACCTGTGGATCCTGGAGATATCTGTAAAGGGAAGCCACAGAGAGAGAAAGGCAGTTATCAGCAAGGTGGAAGAGCAAATATGCTGTCTATAGCAGTAACAGCAGCAGCTATCCCAGACCCACAATGCTAACAGTTCCCACTGTTACTTATTTAGCAGTCCTGACAAGCTGCAAGATCTATGCTTTCTGGTCCTTCCTATACAATTTCGTGCTATGGTTTACACAGACATTTTAATCTTCAGTAGCACCCTTCTCACCACCTCTGTTCAGCAAACCAGTCATCTCTTCTTCCACCTGTGACATTCTGGAGAGCTCACCTGAGACCTGAAGGGGTTGTTCTTCTCTATGTCATCCAACATTACTGGCAGTGAGTCAGTCCCAAGATCAACACTGCTCATCTGGCCATGTACTTACACCACCATCCATGAGGAAAGAGGGAGCAGAGTACATTACAGAAACAGCCAGAGAACCGGTTGTGTCCCCTTACAATAGCAGATTTTTACACTTTGGACTGTGGTATAGATCTGATGGTTGCTTTGAGTGGATAGCAAGTTGGTGAGGATGAACAGGGCACGCTCTCCAAGGTCTACAAATAGCGGGAAAACGTACAGCTCAAAGAAACTCAGGCAGATTTAGGTGGGAAAAGACATCTGGAGGTCTCTAGTCCAACAACCAGCTGACAGCAGGGCTATCTCCCAAGCTGGACCAGGTTGCTCAGGGCCTCGTCCAAGTGATTTCTCAATATCCCTGAGGATGCAGATTCCCCAGCCTCTCTGGGCACCTGTGCCAGTGTTGAGCCACCCTTGGAGGGGAACAGGTTTTTCTTCTGTCCAACAGGAGTTTTCCTTGCCGTAACTTGTGTCCATTGCCTTTTGTTGCACCCCAGTAATAAGATCTGTCTCCAGCCCTCCTTTAGGTATTGCAGACTGCAGTTAGACCCCTGCCTTGGTCTCCTCTTCTGCAGGATGAACAAACCCAGCTCTCACATCATGTTCTCCAATCCTCAATGACTGCTATGACACTTTGCTGGATTGCACCTAGTTCAGTGTTCCTCTGGGGTTATTCTACTGAGAAGCCCAAGTGGAAACAGTTCTCCAAGATGCAGTCTCACTAGCACTGAAAAGGGTGTCCTTGTCCTGCTGAGTACACTCTCACAAATGCAGCCCAGCATGTGGTTGGCATTTACTGCCACAAGGGTGCATTGATGGCTCAATTTCAACTCACTGTTCACCAGGAACTCCAGGTCCTTCATCTGCAGAGCTGTAGCCCTGCCAGTTGACCCTAACCTATCCCGGACCATGGGGTGGTAGCATTTTCTGCTTTCACAGGTCTCAGGGCTTCCTGCAGCTGCCTTCAGAGAGTAGTGAGAGGCTGTCCCAACTCAGAGCATCACAAGAAACTATACTTCCCTTGACCTCACTCACCTGTGGGGCAGGTACCTTGCTCACAGGCCCTTCATCAAACATCGGCGGAAGTGGAGGAGAAGGAAAAACTTCTTCTGGGGCTGGTGGAAAAGGCTCTTCAAAGGGTGGTGGGGGTGGAGGAAAAGCACAGTTTGAGGAGAAACTTGCCTCCTCTCCAGGTGGGGGAGGCGGTGGCAGTGGCAGCTCTATGGGGAAGAATGAGAATAAAAGCAACTTTGGATCATTTCTTACTCTTAGCCAGTACAAACCCCAGGACAGGCTTTGAAACAAGTAGCCTCCGAGTACCGAGGGAACGCCAGCACCCATCAGGGACAACTGAACTCCACAGACTGGCTTTCACCTTGTGCAAAGCTATTTTCCATCATATAAACTTTCCTCGGTAGCTACTGCAATTAGTCACTGGGAATAGTTATTGTATAACTGTGAAACATGTCTTACTATGCCATATCCCACTCCTCTCATTCTTTGGTCCCTAACATATGCTTCTCTTGCCAGTAACTGGCTCAGATTGCTGAATACAGAGCAGCATTAGAAGGAATGCCAGCAGACAACCCAGGACAGGAAAACAAGCTGGCGCCTTGTACCTGGCTAGTAAGCACTACAAGAAACAAGAGGGCGGAGGGAGGGGGAAGCAAATCAGACCAACTATCCCTTACACGTCTGAGGAATCTTTAAAACAGTTTTATTTTTCTGGGAGATGAAAACAGCTTTCCTTTTGGAGGCTAAAATGGCCCCATACCCAATACAGCTGAGGACATGAGAAATTTTCCAGAACCCTTTTAAGCAGGCTGAAAAGCTTCCACCTTCACCATGTATGTATGGGAAAAAGTTGTCCTCCTTTCATCCACGCAGCAAAAAACTCTGAAGACAAGGAGGCAAAACTTCCACATCCCTTCTTCTGGACACCCATCTCTGTTCCTAGCTAGCCCCAACCAGCAGCAGGGTGAAAGACCACGTTTTTCACTCCTGATACTCCATGTGCAGCTTTTAACAGCAGTAATCGAATTGTCTCATCTTTATACGCAGTTGTTGTCAACAGACTTTATAAGGACTTCTTATCTGTAACCTAAGGAAAACGGTACTGCCTTTGCGGAAAATGAAAGCCAAGATCTTATTAGCCAGTGGAATGCATAAACTGCACTGGTATGCAGCACCTCTTCCAAGCCTTCTTGTGCCATAGAAATTCTGCTTGAGAGGGGAAGTAATACTAGGCTGGTATTTTTTCCTTGAAATTACAGTTTGAGATCAGGTTTGTACACACTTGCCTCTCAGTTTATTGAAATGATAAAGAATATTGCAGAAACAAAGCCCTGATCTGCTGTTACTTTGTTTCAGATGCACTAAAAGCCTGCTTTATGAATTACTCATACAAACAAAAAGAGTTCCCCACAAAGTTACTATACCAGATTTATAGAATGATCGATACTAAATATAACATTCCTACTGCAATACTAACTTAGCCATCCTGCCGTTTAAGACAAAGACCAATTGCTATGGCTTTATGTTATACTAATTGGGGAAGTATATAAGGAAGGGAGAGAAGGATTGAAGAGATGCATCACAGAAGAATCAAATCAGATGCACTTCTCTCCTGACTGAGTTTTGGTGGTTCATCTGCACTTCAGATGTCTCTTGCTGGCAGCCTTCACCCAATGGTGACACAGCAGCTTAAGACAAATGGTTCTTTTGCCAACCTTTCTGTCAAGTTAGTTCCTCCATGATAAGCTTTATAAAGGAGGGATAAGTGGAGCAAACATCACCCAATCCTCCACTTGCACTGTATATTGAAAAATAATTTTTAACATCCACTTGTCTACTTTTGTACTTCAGGTAATTGTGTCAGTTTGAGACCTTCTGACAGACACAGCCCTAATCTGCACAACTACAGCAGAAAATCATAAAGCCTAAAGTGGGACCTTGGATTACAGACACAAGATTCCAAAAAACAACGTATGAGAAAGGTCACCAGATTTAGCTGGTACAATTCTAGGACACAGAAGCACCAACATTCTGAGGCCCTTGTGACTTGAGAAATTGAAGAAATGGCTTAATATTTTGTCTCCTCTGAGCACAGAACCAGCTGTCCCACCATCAGGTCAGCTGCCCACGAACTTAGCATGCTAACCTAGAAAACAGCGTTGCACAGTCTACGCTAGCCAGTGAAAAGAAATAAATTTAAAATAGCAGTTAGCATTAACCGAACACACATGTCCTGACTGAGATGCACCCTGAGAGAGTCGGGGTAATACGCAGCATCAAGCACTAGCAAAACATCCCTAGGGAAGTTTGCGGTAGCCCCATGCTGATCAATTCCAACTAGGGAACCACACAACCAGGAACCTGCTTCTTAGAGGACACAAAACCAACTAGCCAGAAAGAACAAAATAAAAGTCACCCCCCCACCACAGGAAATTAAAAAAACAAAACAAAACAAAACGAAAAAACCCACACCACACTAAAGCAAGAAGTCACTTCACAGGAAAACACACCCAACCCAAACCATGGGGAAAAAGTTAAGTCTCACTTCCTGTTTATGACAGCTTCCACCATTTTTTCATGCAATTGTATCTTCCTCTGTCTGCGTCTCCAGCAGCAAAGACAGCTATTGCAGAGGCCACAAGAAGGATCTCTACAGTCCAGACAACCAACCTGAGCCAAGATGAATCAAGGAGGAGGAGAATAGCACGACGCATCACCATCAGGGTAAACTTCCCTGCAACATACCTGCTCTCAGACGTGCTGGTCAGACACTGACTGAAGTTACGCAATTACACACTCAGGGAATACTATGAAAAATCCATTGCATTCCTCCAGCATCAGTGCAACACAGGATTGCCTTCCTGCCTCCTTTCCTAATGGAGATACTATGTATTTTGAGATTCCTTTACAATAATGTTATCTCATTCTGGAACCTACCAGCCTCTACAGGAAGAGTACCTGTCACTTACAGCAGTTATGCCTGTTCTCATGTTTAGCCCAGTTACAGACCTCACACCCTGAAAATTTAGAAACGCTCACACATCCGCCACACCAACCTTCACCTACCTTCTGCCAGCAGGGGCATGGATGCGGACGGAATCTCCCCCACCTTCCCTATCTGAGCACGCTGGGTACCAGCTCCAGGAGGCGGGGGCAGTGACGACTCCGATGCACCCCCAGCCTTGAAGGGATTCACTTTTGGTTTAGGGGCAACCACAGGTGCAAACTTCTTCTGTGGGTTGTAGAAGGAAGGGGTAGAAATGTTGATACTGACTGTGGATGTCATGCGGGTCCCCGGGGCACCTGGGGAGGCCATCTTCTCAGCACCTGGCAGGAGAGAAGAAGGAGGAAACCTCTATGAGGTCAGCCTTGGGCCAGAGTAGAACATGTGAAACAGAGGGATACACCAGTTTAAGTCTGGCCGGAGGCTGAGGTGCCTGAGGTAGGTGCACAGAGCACTTCCAGGATCAGCACAGGAAAAAGGAGGAACGGAAACTGCAGACAGCTCAAATGGGCCAGAACACTTGTTTCAACTTGGTATGGCATTAACCGCAAAGGCGTTCTTGCTACGGAGAAAACCAAACTTTCTGCTGCACAAGAACCCTGGATGCATGCATGCATGCTGGAGGGGACAGCAGCGGGCCACCAGAATGACTGCTATCCCCTGCACACATCAAGCACCAGACACCATAAGGAGCGCGCCCCCCCACTCCTCCAGAACTGGAATTAGCATTTTCTCTCCCCCACTCACCCGGTAACACCAGCCAGTTCCTCTTGATCTCAGCTTGTGACAGCCCCCGTAATGTCCCACTTCACCCCCCAACCCCGGTACACCCCCTGCATCTTCCATCCTTTACCTCCAGACCCCTGCGCGCACAGACAGCTGCGGCAGAGGCAGAACAGGGCGGACGAGGGCTCCCTGGTGCCACATCCCCGGGCAGAGCCTCCAGCTCTGCGACTCTTGCCTCTGCTTTCTCTCCTTCCCGTCCCCGGGGAGGGTGACGGCGGCTCCCACCACCCCTCACGGTGCCCGCTCTGCCCCCGCCAGGGCACTCACTCCCTTCCACCACCCGATTCGCACAGCCAGAGCGCAACCCTGCCAAGTCAGCTGTGAACGAACAGTAGGTCCCATGAGGTGGGCCACATTTCTAGCATTCCCTCAGCCCAGGCCACAAATCTCATCTGCGCTAGAAACCTCCACGAAGCCAGATGCATTGTTGTAAAACCTGGCACGCCTGCAGTCCTCCTAACACCCCAGCACAACAGTGCTTCTGCCAGCACAGAGGCTCTGTGCCAGCACTTCAAGTTCATGTGTTCAAATCGGTGCCCCCTCCGCACTGCTGGCCTCTCTCACATGGACAATAACAGCTGCTGGGTCAGACAGTCCTGGTGCCACAAACATCCGCCCACTGGTAATGCACCCACAGCTGCTGATCAGACCTGCGTGCCCTGTCCTGAGCCCTCCCGTGATTCAGTGCAGTATGGCAAAATATTAGTGCCCTGTAACCGCTTCTCCAGGTCACAAGCTCGTGACAACACAGACAAATGTCAAGCCCACACTGCTGCATGTTTTGTTCCTTTTGTGCGGAGCTGATGGGTTGCACGCACTTTGACAAACTCTTCTGGGCTTTTCAAAAGGAGGAAGCAGCAGCCAAAAAGCTGTGCTGAGCATTTCTCACATGATCCAGCATGGGAAAGGACCAAGGCAGAAGAATAATTAGCAAGGTCTGTCCTCAATACCTCAGACCCGTAGGGGTCAAGACACTTGCAAGTCAGGAGGGACTGACCAACTCCCTCTAGTCTGATATAGAACCTCTAAAAAACACCTCCAGCCTTTCTTTAGAGACCTCTGCCTCATGCTTCACTGTCTCACCGTGATGTAATGAACCACTTCGTAGTAGCTGTACCAGAATTGACAGCATTGTAAGCAGAACACCTCAGTGCAAATGTCACTTCTCATCATGATCCATACCAGGGTTAATCTACACAGAGACAGACAGTCTTGGGACATCAGCTGCTTCACAATAAAGTGCTGGCTTTAATACCAGCAGCTGCTATCTCCCCTTAACCCGAAGCAGCCCATTTCCTGGTGTGGTATGTCGCACTCAAGATCCTTTCTGCTCAGAGCTGTCTCCATCCAGCAGCTGCCCATGCTCATCCTCAATTCTTTTTATTGGTCCACCCCCACACAGACCAAACAGGCTGAGAAAGGCTGGCTGTGTCACCACCACCCCCCCTACCCCCCAACCCTGCAGCACTGCCAATACCATTTAAGCCTTACCAGAAACACACAGCTCATGTGAATGCTGTGGTACTGCTTGTAAAAGCTATTGGAGAGGGAGTGTCACACCAGCAGCCCTAATCTCAAATCTTTCTCATCCTCACATTTACCCTGAAGGGAGAGATTTTTTACTGCCTGCTGTGACAGCATTTAAGATGACTCAAGTGGAGCCATGAAAAAAGATGTCCCCAAAGGACACAGTCAGAATACTTGTCTCATACACTGTTTAACAGAGAGCAAGAAGTAGGAGGGCAGAACAAAGTGACACTTTTCACAGCAGCAGGGTCACATCCCAGAAGGTCCCACTGTGGGTCTGACACCTTTTACGCACCCAGACAGGCTTCCAGTTCCTCAACTCCAAGACACCACTTTCAAAAGCCCAGCTCCTTTCCTGGGGTAGCGAAGGGAAGAGGAATCTGAGGAAGCAGTGAGTCGAGTGTTATTTTTCACCTCTGTTGGGAGAAGCAGTTTTGCTCCAGTCACACCGGGACACAGGGAGCCCCTGTAAAAGCTAGCCCGGCACAGTGGTCTGACACACTGCATCTGTGCTTCCTCCATTTGCCAACTTCCTGCCAAGTGAGAGGGGCTCAGGAGAACTACAGCAAAGAATATAAAATATGAGGTGAACAGATTAAACAGATTTAAGAGTTACGCTTATTTTCATCCTCTCATGCAGTTTAATTCCAGATAGTTCTCCCAGCCTGGCCCGAAGTTTCTAAGCTTCAAAGAGAGCAAAGTCCTATCAGCTATGCAAGCTGCAAGGTAGAGCCCTAAAACAACCGGGCTGGGGAAGGGGGGGCATTTAGAGTTACAAGCTTCTCCCACATACGCTTGGGCTTGCCTCCTCCCTGTGCAGAAAAAGAGGAAAAACTCCCAAAAGCTACACAAACATATTTAAAACTTTAGGAAGTTCTATGACTTGGCAAGCAATCGCATCTTCACTTTCTCAGGGCACTCCTAGAGACACAGAAATTCATAAATTAAACAAATTCCATGCACAAAGAGCCCCGGATTCGTCTCTCTCAAGCACATCTGGAAAAAGGCTCCCTAGGTGTCTCACTCATCCCTACACACACAAAAGAGAGCCTGTCCCGAGTAAAACCAAGCAACACCCCCTCCCCACTGCTGGAGCTACACAGGAGCGCTTGGCTGCCTCCATTTCACGGGGAGAGAAGAAAACTCACCAGACACGCACGCGAACGTCTCTTCAGCGAAAGGGAAAAAAAAAAAAAAAAACAAAACACCCCAAGAAGCATAACCATCAACCAACCTTAAAGAGATCGAGGGCCTTTGTATGAGGTGAGCAAACCTCCCGGCGGGAGCGGCAGGAAACCCGCACCCCCCGACGCGGGCGCGCAGCCCCGCTCCTCAAGGCCAGCCCCGGGGCTGCAGACAAAAGCTTTTTCGCTAAGCCGAGACTCACCTCTAGGGAACGAGGTTCGGGGAGGGGGGAAATGCCTCCCCCGGGCCTACAGATCCCAGGGCTGCCGCTCGACCGGCCCCCGCCCGCCCGCCTGCTGAGAAAAGCAGCGGGAACGAAAGGTGGGGGAGCTACTGAGCCCAAACGCTTCCTACCAACTCGAGAAAAAGGCCTCGCCCAGGCAAAGTTGTTTGACCATAAAAGGAGAGAGGCTGCGCGAACAGCTGAGCTCACTCACTGGGGAATGTGGCGATGAGGTAACCGCGGGGAAGACGCGCACCGCCGGCAGCTCCGCGCTGGCATCTTGTGCGCGGCCCGCTCCGGCTCTGCGCGGGAAAAGCGGGGGGGGGCGGGAGTTACTTTCTCTGCCTACCTGCGCTCAACGAAGACAAAACGTTTGTCGGGGGGTTTTTTTCCCCCCAGGCCTCTCCCGCCGCCTTACCGCGGCCCCTCCCTCAGCGCTCCGCCTGTTCCGGGCCGCCCGGGCCCCCGCCGCCCGGCCGGGGCAGGGCCCTGCTCCGCCCGCCTTCCCCGGCTCCAGGGCCGGCCCCGACCCGCCGCGGCGCCGCCAGCCGCCGTGCTGGACAGCTCTGGCGGGCCGGGGCCCCTGCCGCCCTCCTCCTCGGGCCACCCGGCGGCGAGAGCAGCGGTCTCGCACTCCCCTCATCTTCCAGAAAGGAAAGCAAACGTCAGATGACTCCACCGTGCTTGCAGTGGTTGCGAGGCCAACGTTACACTGTTTTGCATCAAACACTAGCCACTTGAATCGATTTTGTGGATTGCCTGGGCTGCACATCGGTTTTATTTTTATCCCAGTGCTGGCCGGGTGTCCGGCTCTGCTCTAGACCAGGGACAACCTGACCCAGCACAACAGAGCATGTAATTTTCAACCCCAGTCTTTCCTTCTTGCTTCCGAGCCTCTCGTTGAGGAGGGATACCAGCAAAGACAAATTTCCCGTGCTTTGCACGATCGCCGTGTCTTTGGAATTTGGCTTTAATATTGGGGTCAATACCCCTGCTGTTGCAACTTCCCTGGAGAATTACTGTATTTGGTAATGCTCTGGAGATCTGGGGCTTGTCTTCTGCCAGAATTTACCTATCAACGTAAGTACCTTTCAGTACTTGTAATTTACTCATGGCGGGTAAACTACAAACCACACTGGTTAGACTCCCAGTGTGCACTACTGAAAAATACTCACGTTAGAGAGCTATGAAAAGAAGTTCGCCAAGGCTTAAGAAATTCACTCTAAACAAATCTTTAATTTTGCAGGCAAGGTTTGCACAAAGAGGTAAACTCTAGCTGATACAGTTTGAAAAATTAGGCCCTCTGTGAGGTTTTTGATTTTTACATACCATTATGAAAATGTCACCCATAGCAATGTGTGGCACCAAACATCTCACTCCTTACAGAGCTGCAACTGTTGAACTATCAAACTATGGCTGTGAATTGCTTACAGATAAATAGCTGTTGTATAGGGGCTAAATAATTCTGAAATTACTGCCGCTTTTGTTGGCATGGCATCAGCCCAGTTACCTCACATAATTAATGCACAAAGTAATTCTATAGGATAAAGAAGGTACCTCTGGGCTGGGTCTTCTAACACTGTTGCTGTTCTAGTGCAGACA